GCACTATCATGAGTTGTAGATAGTCATTTCTATTAGGGGTTCCCTGACACCATAAAGTTTTTTTAAGGGTTCCTCTGTGTTGGACAGGAATCTGCTTTTAGATCCTGTCCAGAGACTAACTTGACTGCAATATAGTTTGTGAATGTGAGTGGGCCATTTTCATGGTTGTAGATACTGGAGAAGTATATTTTCAGATGGGGGTATTAGTGTTGGGGTGAATTGTTGACCGATGCATCTGGACTCTAGTTGGTCCATGTTTTCATGCATCTCCATGACCATTGACTGCTAGCACAAATTTTCATACCTACTTCCGTATACCCTGCACTTGGTGTTAATCATGAGAACCTTCAGGTGCTTGGCAAGCCAAGGTGTTAGGAATTTGCTTTTGGAGACTGAGTCCTTTTTCCTGTTGGGTTGCAATGTCGCATTAGTTGGGGTATCCCCATAGTTAAGGTGAGGCATGTTTTCTTTCACTGAGATGTGTCCTAGTTTTCTCCATTAGGTTGGCTGCTATGGTAGCCCTTATACTGGGATCACATATTATTGTGTATCTGCCAACAGGAACCTTACCATGGCTATATAATGCCCTATTGGTGACTGATTTGTAGAGTCTGCGGAGCAGTGCACCCTGGGAGTAGCACATGGGGGTGGAATCCCAAGTGTGAAAAGTGCATGTGGTCACTGTTCCGGACACTTTTACTGCACTGTGCCTTTTAGGATTAGGTCTTTTGGTTAAGTCCAGGGCAATTTTTTTGCTACAGGCCTCAGGCCCTAGCCAGTGCACAATTCATTGGCCACTTTTTTATTTCTCCCACGTTTTACCTTTCGCTGATTTTGTATCTCACTAGGATTTAGGGTGTGGGTCCTTGGGCTTTCCCTGAGGTCTGGGGGGGAATGCTTGGCTATCAGGTTCCTTCCTCCCTTGTCCCTGGGGGTCTCTTCGGGAGAGCCCCCTGATCTAGTACTTGGTAGTCAGCTAGCCACAAGGAAAAGGGGTTTGTCAGGCCTATTGGCTAGGCAGACCATGTGAAAACCTTTGTCTGTCAGGAGCCTTGCACCCCGGGGCATCAGGGGAGGTCCTACCCCTTGGGGGGTGGACTAAAGCACACCCCTAAATGCAATTTTGTGTTTGTTTTGCACTCGCACCTTTTTTGTTCACTTGTGGGGTTTTTTTGCACCTCCACCTCTTCACTAGGATTCACGGTGTGGGTCCTCGGGCTTACTCTGAGGTCTGGGGGGGGACAATGCTTGGCTGTCAGGTTCCTTCCTCCCCTGTCCCTGGGGGTCTCTTCAGGAGAGCCCCCTGACCTAGTACTTGGTAGTCAGCTAGCCACAAGGAAAGAGGTCTGTCAGGCCTTTTGGTTTGGTGGACCATGTGGAAACCTTTGTCCCTGTCAGGTGCCTTGAGCCCCAGGGGATCAGGATATAGGTCCTACCCCTTCAGGGGGTTGACTAAATAATGCAGGGTCCGGGTTTAAGTTTTTCGCTCTGTGGTTTGGTAACCCCCGGTTCACATATGCTGCCGTGTGGGTCGCGTTTTGCGCGGGCACAAGAGCCCATTCATTTGAATGGACTCCCATACCCCGGGACACAACAGGGAAGTCGCAGCACTTCTGAAAATGCTGCATTTTCCAGTGCGGGCGGCGTGCCATTTTGTGCGGATCCGGAGCTGCACCACCCGCACAGATGTGAACCTAGGGTTGATGTGTATTTTGAAGTGGTCAGTCCCGTGGGTTGTGAGCTGTCTACAGAGCCTTGCTGATTACCTGCACCAAGCAGAAGTCTGTCCTCTGTGCCATGTGTGCATTTAAAGTATATGAAGGGCAGTTCTGTATCCCTTTAGGTGTGATTTCCCTTTGGAGTAAGGTTGGCCATACATTATACAGTTTCCTTGTACTGTTTTACTTTAATTTACTGAATCCATATGAGGTCATACCTAACCGCTTGATTTGTATGTCCTAAGGTCGGCCCCAGGGGCGAACTGACAACTCATGGGGCCCCCGGGCAATAGGGGATCATGGGGCCCCTGTGTCCTTGCCCAAACTCAAAAAAGCCTATGAAAAAGGTACCAGGGGCATCTCATGGGGGCCCCCTACTGACCCCGGGCAGTGCCAGTTTCCCAATGGTCAGTCCGCCCCTGGTCGGCCCTTGCACTACATAGTTAATGGGTCATTCTAAAGGAAGTTGAAGAAAACATGTGGCCAACTCATCTAGCCAAAATGTTTGTTGCAGGAGATGCTTTAAATCTTGCATCTTAGTGCAGACTTTTGGGAAAATCAGTGCGCCAATCACAAGCAGGAATGACATTTCTGGGGACGCTCCGTATGGAACACCTGGTAGCCATATTGCATTTTACAGAACCAATCTGCAGATTGAAAAAGGAAACAACCTATAGTGGGCTTTTTTTTTTTTAGTTTTTCTTTTAATCATGCCAGTTTGTATTTTTTAGGGTAGAAGTGATCTGACAGCTGTTAAGCCACCTGATCACTTCTACCTTGCTTTTTGTATTTCAATATTATTCATTTTATAAACAGTTTAACACAGGAGCAACAAAACACACCCATGCAGGGGCCTATAGTGGGCTTTTAAAGCACCCCCTATGGAAAATGTAGGATACAAAATTGTCGCCATTTTATGGGTGCACACATTTGAGGTCTGACCTGCCTGGTATCTACTCAGTACAACCTCATCTTTTATATTTCACCAAATGGGTAGTTCTTTGTTTTTTCTGTAACATTGACTTTAGTGTATTTTATACTGGAGTTTTGCGTTTCCTAGACCTTTGCGGTGGTAATGTGACATAAATTGCAACTACCACTAGTTCATTCTCTGGGGTTTCTGCTTTCAGAAAATGTTTGAGGGGTTTTGCAGTCTTCGGGCCTAAAATGATTTTTTTTTTTTAACCGTGTGCAAAATAGCTATGGCAGCGGAAGGGTTAATACCACTAACAAGCCATTTACAGCTCCTGTTATGTGTTCTCTATTGCCTATTGATCGTCTTCTGTTCCCCTAATTGGTGTGGTAGCCAAGAAGTAATGGTCCTGGAAATGAAGACAAATTTTGAGATAATTGGGCGGTAATGAAATGTCAGTGGCGGCAGCTTAGCCGTCATTTAAACCGCTCTAAGACTGTGCTACGTATATAAACGTTGCGATTTTCAAGTGGTTTACCAGGGTTATGGCTGAAGATGTAAGCCATGATCCGGTATTTTTTCAGCCGACAAACGGCTTTCTGATGAGCGGTGAATTAGCCACTAAAGCAATTTCCGAAGCGGTAGGTGGGGACATCCAACCCCCCCAGTCGCTCGCCAGTGTTTCTCGTGCTTACCAACCGAGAAACTGACTGGTGTGGCCAGCTGAAGATGGAGGCAATGACTGTATTGTCTCTGCCTCTATCATCATGGAGGACCAGAGCGACGTCATGACGTCACGTTCTGGGCGGGTGTAAACAATTTGTTTTCTTTTACCCCCTTTTTTTCCCAGTGCCATTAGTACAGTGAGTGCTTTTATTCGCACTGATCACTGTGCTGGAGTCACGGGTGATGTCAGTGACACCAAGTCAGATCCCCCCAGTGTCAGAATGCCCACCGCAGTCCCGCTAATTCGCTGATCGCCGCTATTTACTAAACAAAAATCCCAGTATCTATACCGCCATTTGTAGACGCTATAACTTTCACGTAAACCAATTAATTTACACGTACAGTGAAGGAAATAAGTGTTTGATCCCCGGCTGATTTTGAATGTTTGCCCACTCAAAGAAATGATCGGTCTAAAAATCGAATGGTCTTTACCAGCATCTTCACCGCCATTTGTAAACGCTATAACTTTCATGTCAACCAATTAATTTACACGTATTGGGATTTTTTTTTTTTAGCAAAGACATGTCACAGAATACATTTTTGTCTAAATTAGGAAATTTTATTTTTGTTACTGGACATGTTTAGTAGCAGTCAAAAATATAGGTTTTTCTAAATTGTCAGTCTTTTTTTGTTTATAGCTCAAAAAACGCAGAGGTGATCAAATATCACCAAAAGAAAGCTCTATTTGTGGGAATAAAAGGACGTAAATTTAATTTGGGTGCAGCGTTGCATGACCGTGCAATTGTCAAAGTAATGCAGCACCGTAACCCAAAAAATGGCCTGGTCATGAAGAGGGAGGGGGGTAAATCCTCTGGAGGGGGAGGGGTTAAAGCAGATCTCTAAAACCTTTTTTTTTGATATTTCTCTTTTAAAGGTAGAGATTTGGGGTCTTTTTTGACCCCAGATCGTAACATAAAGACCTGTCATGTTTTTCTCTTACAAGAGATGTTTGTTCCTTGTAATAGGAATAAAAATGATAAAGGAAGTGTAAAAAAAAAAAATGTAAAGTGCCCCATCCCTTTGTGCTCGCACGCAGAAGTGAAAGCACACGCAAGTGGGGCACACATATGTAAACGGTGTTGGCAGCACACGTGAGGTACGTTGCAGCGAGGGCAATGATTCTAGTGCTAGACTTCTTACTCTAAACGGGTAACCCGAAATGTTTTTAAATCCTTGTTTCTGGAGATGAAGTACCGTACTTTGTCGTCATTCCACGAGCGTGCGCATTTTTAAAAGTGGATATGTTAAGTATCTACTCGCCGTAACATCCTTTCACATTTATAAAAAAATAAAGGCATATAATTTTCATTAAAATTAGAAAAACTGCAGATGTGACAAATTGCTGCAATCGCCATTTCGTTCTCTAGGGTCTTTGCTGAAATAAATATATGTTTGGGGTTATAAAAGTAATTTTCTAGCAAAAAATACTGATTAACCCTTTGAGGACCATAAGATTGCGGAACGCCAAAAGAATCAATTTTTTATTTTTAAAGTTCATACACTTCAGTTGCTGTAACTAAGCCATTTCATGAAATTGGCAAAAAGCTAGATCCATTTGTTAAGAACTAATATTTTGACTCAAACCAAAAAAAAAGTATTTTAAGTTCTTAATCAGATACAGGCAATTAAAAACATGGGACAAATATGTCCCTTGGTCCTCAAAGGGTTAAGCCTAGGTTCACATGTGTGCGGGTGGTGCCGCTGCGGATCCGCATGAAAATTCATGCAGCCGCACCACCCACACAGAGGAATGCGGACCTGCGGGTGGGTGACATTAGTTCTAATGCACTGGAAAACGAACCTCGGCTGCATTTTTCAGAGAAGTGCAGGGACTTATTCCCTGCGTGGCACATGAGTCCATTCAAATGAATGGGCTCTCGTGCCCGTGCGAAACGTGGCTCGCACAGCCGCATAGATGCAAGCCCTGGTTCACACTGATGCGGTAAGGATTTTGCAGCATTTTCCGCACCGCATCAGAATCACGCCCCATTCATGAGAACTGCTGCGGGTGTGTAACACCCTGAAAGCGGTCCGCAAAATGTGGTGGTGTGCAGAATCAGATTGCATAGGTGTGAATATCCATGCGATACGATTCTAGTGCGGACCAAATGGTGTCCTGAACGTTTTTGGCGCGGTGCGATTAGAGCCATACAAATCGCATGTGATTCACACAGGAGTGCGGTTCCTTTGCGAATCACGTGATGTACCGCACCACACACGTATGTGAACCCGGGCTTAAACTTTTAAATATCAGAAAATGCTTTGTCTTCAAGTGGTTAAGGAGAAATGCTGGTCATGATGGGAGAAAGCTTCATCACATGGGTGTAGTCAGAGCTTGCTGCTACCACCTCCTCCCACAGTGACTAATAAATGTGTGGGCTCTGCTATATGGAGGTTTCGCCTGTCGGGGTCCCAGCATTCACTGCACTTCACACTGCAGAAGTTCAATTATCTTCAAAGCGGCTGTAAACCTCAGACATGAAATAGGAACAAAGCATATCCCTCTATAGTGTGTACTTGTCTCAATCCAGACCACTGTCGCTTCTTTCTACTGTCCGCTTCCTCTATCAGCATGAATCACTTCTTACAGGTTTTCTTGACACCAAGAGAAAAAATGGTGACAGGAGCGACCTCTAGCATCATCTGTTTGTGAGCTGTTTGGAGGAAGGGGGAGTCTCTCTTCCCTCCAATTGGCTCTCCTCTGAACTCTGCAGTGTGTAATCTCAGCTCTCCACCTTTTTTTTTTTTTTTTCTGAACTCAGACAAGCTTTATGAATTCACCACAGTAAGATTATTGCAGATCAGGGGCGTCACTAGGGTGGTGCCACCCAGTGACACCCCCCCCCCCCCCCCGACGATCACTGCAGAATGGATCGGATCTGCGGATTGAGCATAATGGATCGCACACATTCCATTATGCTCCCCAATCCACAGATCCAGTTCATCCTGCAGGGATCGTCAGCATGCAACCATCTTTGGGGTGACACCGGACCTGCTCCATGAAAGGGTTAGTTGTAAAGAAAGCCGACCCCTGCAGAATGGATTGGATCTGCGGATTGAGCATAATGGATCGGACACCATTCCATTATGCTCCCCAGTCCGCAGATCCAGTCCATCCTGCGGGGATCGTTGGCATGCAACCATCTTCGGGGTGACACCGGACCTGCTCCATGAAAAGGTTAGTTGTAAAGAAAGCCGACCCCAGCAGGATGGATCGGATCCATCCTGTGGGGATTGTCTTGCTTTACAACTTTTTCGTGGAGCGGGTCCGGTGTCACCCCATGTGGCGTGCACTCTCCGCACCTGCCTTGGGATGCCATGGTCACAGATAAACAGGTACAAATTATGTAGGAGGATTTATTTCATCTGAGGCCAGTCACTGCACTGGGTATATGTAGGGTTTACAACCACTTTTCATTTTCTTGGTGAATAGAGTAGGGAAGGGTAGAACCTGTCAGGTTTTTATTGGTCTCTTATTCCTGGGCTGATTCACATTTCGATTAGTTCTGGTGACCACAGCTGCCGGGACTGAAGGGATAGAATGTCGGAGTTGTCAATGGAGCAGGAATCTTTGAATGTTTGTTCACGGACAGCTGTATGAGGAACTCTCTCACCTCTTGTATTCCCATAGTAAGGAGGTAAAGCAAAATTAGACGTGGAGTTTGTTTTGTTCCGAATTGAAATTCAGATGAAATCTTCGTTGGGTGATTTGGGTGTCCATATGACAACTGTAACTAATTTCAACGAATATGAAAGTTTAAAATTAATTTAGTTTGGATGTTTGTAGCATCCGAATGAGACGAATTATCTGAGTTGATTCAATAATTATTTCAGGTACTTATATAGCGCCGTCAATTTACGCAGCGCTTTACATATATATTGTACATTCACATCAGTCCCTAACCCTCAAGGGGCATACAATCTAAGGTCCCTAACCCTCAAGGGGCATACAATCTAAGGTCCCTAACCCTCAAGGGGCGTACAATCTAAGGTCCCTAACCCTCAAGGAGTGTACAATCTAAGGTCCCTAACCCTCAAGGAGTGTACAATCTAAGGTCCCTAACCCTCAAGGGGGGTACAATCTAAGGTCCCTAACCCTCAAGGGGCGTACAATCTAAGGTCCCTAACCCTCAAGGGGGGTACAGTCTAAGGTCCCTAACCCTCAAGGGGGGTACAGTCTAAGGTCCCTAACCCTCAAGGGGGGTACAGTCTAAAGTCCCTAACCCTCAAGGGGCGTACAGTCTAAGGTCCCTAACCCTCAAGGGGCGTACAGTCTAAGGTCCCTAACCCTCAAGGGGCGTACAGTCTAAGGTCCCTAATAGAGATGAGCGAATTTCTCAAAAATTCGATTCGGCTGATTCGGCGAATTCCAGTGTGAAATTCGATTCGATGCGAATTTCTTCGCTACGAAGATGACTTATAAAAAGGGTTTCTAGGCTTCAGAGAGCCTTTAAATTAGTGCAGAACACTGTACCTTTAATTTAAATGCCCTTGGAGATGAGGAAAGAGAAGGATGAGGAGAAGGAGGAAAGGATGAGGAAGGATGAGGAGAAGAGAGAAGGATGAGAGAAGGATGAGGAGAAGAAGGAGAGAGAAGGATGAGGAGAAGGATGAGAGAAGGATGAGGAGAAAGGAGAGGAGAAGATGAGGAGAAGGAGAGGAGAAGGATGAGAAGAAGGATGAGGATGGAGAGGAGAAGGATGAGAGAGAAGGATGAGGAGAAGGATGAGAAAGATGAGGAGAGGATGAGAGAAGGATGAAGGAGAAGGAAGAGAAAGGATGAGAAGATGAGGATGAGAAGGAGAAGGATGAAGGATGAGAAGGAGAAGGAAGGAAGGAAAGGATGAAAAGGAGAAGAGAAGGATGAGAAGGAAAGGAAGGATGAAAAGAAGGAGAAGGATGAGAAGGATGAGAAGGATGAGAAGGAAGGAGAAGGATGAGAAGGATGAGAAGGATGAGAAGGATGAGAAGGATGAGAAGGATGAGAAGGATGAGAAGGAAGGAGAAGGATGAGAAGAAGAAGAAGAAGGATGAGAAGGATGAGAAGGATGAGAAGGATGAGAAGGATGAGAAGGATGAGAAGGATGAGAAGGAGAATGATGAGAAGATGAGAAGGATGAGAAGATGAGAAGGAAGGAGAAGAGAGAAGAAAGGAGAGAGAAGGATGAGAAGGATGAGAAGGAGAGAAGGAGGAGGATGAGAAGGAAGAAGGAGAGAAGAGAGGAGAAGAAGGAGGAGAAGAAGGAGAGAGGATGGAAGGAAGAGAAGGAGAGAAGAAGAGAAGGATGAGAAGGAGAGAAGGAGAAGGAGAAGAAGAGGAGAGAAGAAGAAGGAGATGAGAAGAGAAGGAGATGAAGGATGAAGGAGGAGAAGGAGAAGGAGAGGAGGAAGAAGAAGAGAAGGAGAAGGAGAGATGGGAGAAGGAGAAGGATGAGAAGGATGAGAGAAGGAGAAGGATGAAGAAGAGGAGAAGGAGAAGGATGAGAAGAAGGAGAAGGAGAAGGATGAGAAGGAGAAGGAGAAGGAGAAGGATGAGAAGAAGGAGAAGGATGAGAAGAAGGAAAGGAGAAGGAGGAGAAGGATGAGAAGAAGGTGAGAAGAAGGATGAGAAGAAGGAGGAGAAGGATGAGAGGAGAAGGAGATGAGAAGGAGAAGAGAAGGATGAAGGATGAGAAGAAGGAGAAGGAGAAGGATGAGAAGATGAGGAAGGAGAAGGAGATGAGAGGAGAAGGAAGGATGAGGGGGGAGAAGGAGGAGGGATGTGAGGTGAGGGAGAAGGAGAAGGATGAGAAGAAGGAGAAGGAGGAGAGAAGGATGAGAAGAAGGAGAAGATGAGAAGAAGGAGAAGGATGGAAGGAGAAGGATGAGAAGGACAGGAGAAGGACAGAAGAAGGAGATTTCTGACAGTTCTGGGACATTCACTCCATACAGCTGTTTCAAGAAGGCTGTATGGAGGGAATGTCAGAACTGTCAGAAATAGACTATTTGACAGTTCTGGGACTGTCCTTCCATGGAGCGGTTGAAACATTGTATATTTGTTTCCATAAATGATAAGGAATTTATGGAAGAAGGATACATGAATGTTTCAACCGCTGTATGGAGTGAATGTCCCAGAACTGTCATAAATTGTAGTCTATTTTCTGACAGTTCTGGGACATTCACTCCATACAGCTGTTTCAACCGCTGTATGGAGGGAATGTCATGGAACTGTCAGAGTCCCAGAACTGTCATTAATAGTCTATTTCTGACAGTTCCATGACATTCCCTCCATACAGCGGTTGAAACAGCTGTATGGAGTGAATGTCCCAGAACTGTCAGAAATAGACTATTTATGACAGTTCTGGGACATTCACTCCATACAGCGGTTGAAACATTGTATCTATTTTTTTCCATAAATGACATTCTGCAGATACACTTAGAGGAGCGCTGCAGATACACTTTGAAGTAGGATGAAAATAAGATTAATTCCAAGCCGGCAAAAAGTGTATCTGCAGCGCTCCTCTAAGTGTATTTGCAGAATGTCATTTATGGAAAAAAATAGATACAATGTTTCAACCGCTGTATGGAGTGAATGTCCCAGAACTGCCATAAATAGTCTATTTCTGACAGTTCTGGGACATTCACTCCATACAGCTGTTTCAACCGCTGTATGGAGGGAATGTCATAGAACTGTCAGAAATAGACTATTTCTGACAGTTCTGGGACTGTCCTTCCATACAGCGGTTGAAACATTGTATTACAGCGGTTGAAACATCTGTATCCTAAATGGAAACTAATAGATACAAATTGTATCTATTAGTTTCCATTTAGGATACAGATGTTTCAACCGCTGTACATGTGAAGAAGCTGTGAGAGAACTGTCAGAAATAGAGGAACTCTGCACATAACTTTTTGCCGGCTTGGAATTATTCTTCTTTTCATCCTACTTCTTCTTCTTCTTCTTCTCATCCTCATCCTCATCCTCTTCTTCTGAGGATGAAGAAGAAGAAGAAGAAGAGGATGAAAAGAAGAATAATTCCAAGCCGGCAAAAAGTGTATGTGCAGAGTTCCTCTATTTCTGACAGTTCTCTCACAGCTTCTTCACATGTACAGTGGTTGAAACATCTGTATCCTAAATGTAAACTAATAGATACAATGTTTCAACCGCTAAACATGTGTTCCTTCTGTCAGAGAACTGTCAGAAATAGCGGAGCTCACTGCAGTTCGCGCACCCGAAGTAGGCAAAATTTCGGTTTCGCCGCGAATCGAATATTTCCTGAAATTCGACTCGAATTCCGGTTCGCCTGGTTCGATTCGCTCATCTCTAGTCCCTAACCCTCAAGGGGCGTACAGTCTAAGTCCCTAACCCTCTAGGAGCGTACAATATAAGGTCCCTAACTCACATTCATACATACACATACTAGGGACAGTTTAGACAGCATTCAATTCACCTCCCAGCATGTCTTCAGAGTGTGTGAGGAAACCAGAGTGTCCGGAGGAAACCCGCACAGGGAGAACATGCAAACTCCAGGCAGGTGGTGCCTTGGCTGGAATTCGAACCAACGACCCTAGAGCTGCCAGGTGGAAGTGCTAACCTTTAGCCACTGTGCTGCCCCATAGCTGGGTAAGGAGCAGGGTGGCCGGCTGCCGCGTCCTTGATGACCGTGACTCCTCTGCTGTCATTAGGGTTTATTTTTGAAAATGTTTTGGGTTAGTTGGGGGTACTATACTTCTGATCGACGTATTGGTGTTATACTTTGAACTTGGGTAGAAGGTTGACCCTTGCAAAAGGATGGACAGGATTTCTTTGTATATTGCACTGAAATTTTAGTTTGGACAATTGTAAAGTATATCTAGATCCAGGGGCGGACTGACCATTTGGAAACTCGGGCACTGCCCGGGGTCAGTAGGGGGCCCCATGAGATGCCCCTGGTACCTTTTTCATAGGCTTTTTTGAGTTTGGGCAAGGACACAGGGGCCCCATGATCCCCTATTGCCCAGGGGCCCCATGAGTTCTCAGTCCGCCCCTGTCTAGATCCAAAGTAAATTGATGGCAGCTTTCATCATTAATGGGTTTTATGCTTGCGGACTTTATTTGGGGACACCTAGTCTTGTATGCTTGGGGCCCCCGCATTGCTACTTCTGGGTTCTTGTATACTTGGGAGCCCTGGATTGTGGTTTATAGGGTATTGTACATCTGGGCCAATATATCTGTTGGTGTTATCTTTGTGATATTTTAGCGCTTACATTTTGCATTATTTCTGGTGTTTTTTCCATTAAACACCACAAGATTGTAAAACTGACCGTTCTAGTGTGCTTTCATCCACAAAACCATCGCCCTCTGAAATGTTACCATTTACATTCCTGAGCTCAGAAGTGAACATTTTCACAAGGATACGTTGTATACTCATCACATGGATACATTGTATACTCATCACATGGATACATTGTATACTCATCACATGGATACATTGTATACTCATCACACGGATATATTGTATACTTTTTACATTCTGGACAGTGCAGAGTTCCCCCCATTGTTTTGTACATTTCTAAAATACTGCCAAACACCCGGTGATGACCAATGTTGGTGTTTTTGACTTGGGGATACAGGGACCCCGATCACACAGTATACAATAGGGATACAGGGACCCCAATCACACAATATACAATAGGGATACAGGGACCCCGATCACACAATATACCATAAATAGGGATACAGGGACCCCGATCACACAATATACCATAAATAGGGATACAGGGACCCCGATCACACAATATACCATAAATAGGGCTTCAGGGACCCCGATCACACAATATACCATAAATAGGGATACAGGGACCCCGGTCACACAATATACCATTAATAGGGATACAGGGACCCCGATCACACAATATACCATAAATAGGGCTTCAGGGACCCCGATCACACAATATACAATAAACAGGGATACAGGGACTCCGATCACACAATATACCATAAATAGGGATACAGGGACCCCGATCACACAATATACCATTAATAGGGCTACAGGGACTCCGATCACACAATATACAATAGGGATACAGGGACCCCGATCACACAATATACCATAAACATGGATACAGGGACCCCGATCACACAATATACCATAAATAGGGCTTCAGGGACCCCGATCACACAATATACAATAAATAGGGCTACAGGGACCCCGATCACACAATATACAATAAATAGGGCTACAGGGACCCCGATCACACAATATACAATAAATAGGGCTACAGGGACCCCGATCACACAATATACCATAAATAGGGATACATGTTTGTTGTGTAATCTCACATTTCAGATTTCATTTTGATGAACTGACCCTTTTATTATCCCATGCAATATTTCAAAAAAGAGTAACGTGACCTTCATATCACATGCAGTAACCGTTAGTGAATTGACCCCACTGTATGCTTGGGGTCCCTGTAGCCCTATTAATGGTATATTGTGTGATCGGGGTCCCTGTAGCCCTATTAATGGTATATTGTGTGATCGGGGTCCCTGTAGCCCTATTAATGGTATATTGTGTGATCGGGGTCCCTGTATCCCTATTAATGGTATATTGTGTGATCGGGGTCCCTGTAGCCCTATTTATGGTATATTGTGTGATCGGGGTCCCTGTATCCCTATTAATGGTATATTGTGTGTGACCGGGGTCCCTGTATCCCTATTAATGGTATATTGTGTGATCGGGGTCCCTGTAGCCCTATTAATGGTATATTGTGTGATCGGGGTCCCTGTATCCCTATTAATGGTATATTGTGTGATCGGGGTCCCTGTAGCCCTATTTATGGTATATTGTGTGATCGGGGTCCCTGTATCCCTATTAATGGTATATTGTGTGACCGGGGTCCCTGTAGCCCTATTTATGGTATATTGTGTGATCGGGGTCCCTGTAGCCCTATTTATGGTATATTGTGTGATCGGGGTCCCTGTAGCCCTATTAATGGTATATTGTGTGATCGGGGTCCCTGTAGCCCTATTTATGGTATATTGTGTGATCGGGGTCCCTGTATCCCTATTAATGGTATATTGTGTGATCGGGGTCCCTGTAGCCCTATTTATGGTATATTGTGTGCTTAGGTAGGGGGAATAGAGGTGTAAATTGTGCTGATTCAGGGTCCCTAGGTAGGAGTAAGTCATGTATTCTAAATCAGGTAGGGGGAATAGAGAAAGTTGTGTTATTCAGGACCCCGGTGGGGGGAATAGAGGAAGTTGCGTGTTCTTATTCAGGGACCCCTGGGTGGGAGGTATAGAGGAGGAAGTTGTGTGTTCTGATTCAGGAACCTCCGGGTGGGGGAATAGAAGAGGAAGTTATGATTCAGGGACCCCGGGTGGGGGGAATAGAGGAGGAAGTTGTGTTCTGATTCAGGGACCCCTGGGTGGGGGGAATAGAGGAGGAAGTTGTGTTCTGATTCAGGGACCCCTGGGTGAGGGGAATAGAGGAGGAAGTTGTGTTCTGATTCAGGGACCCCTGGGTGGGGGGAATAGAGGAGGAAGTTGTGTTCTGATTCAGGGACCCTAGGTAGGTTGGAAAAGAGGTCGTGTTTTGATTTCAGGGACCCCTGGGGTGAGGGGATAGAGGAAGTTGTTCTGATTCAGGGACCCCGGGTGGGGGGAATAGAAGAGGAGGTTGTTTGTTCTGGGAGAGGGGGTGGGATGAGTGGAGGAGGCAGTTCCACTGACAGAAGTGTTCTTGCAGAATGAAAACTGCTATTACTTCCTGACAGCACAGCAACAGATAAAGAGCCAGTCTGCTCTGACCTACAGCTGTATCACTTGGAGGTCCATTTTATACGAAATGCTGGTTTCAGTTTTTAAAGGGCCACTCCACCCAAAGTTAATGTCAGGATGCTGTTAAACATCCAGACCAGGGGCAGACTGACCATTCAAGCACTCAGGCACTGCCCAAGGTACAGGGGTCAGTAGGGGGCCCCATGAAATGCCCCTGGTACCTTTTTTATGTTTTTTGAGTGTGGGCAAGGACACCAGGGGCTCCATGATCCCCTATTGCCCGGGGGGCCCCATGAGTTGTCCCTATGAGTTCCCCTGTCTGCATGCCTGCTGTGAGGGGCTTCCACTATTTCTGGTGGATTGATTGGCATATTAAAGGATGAGAGTGGAAAAGCTGAAAACGCAAGTGTGACCAGGAACTGCAAAGTCCCCGGTGGACACAGCATTATGGCTGACCTTGTTGGCACTTGGCAGTGGTAGTTTTGTGCCATGTTGGCCAGTAATGCAGGTGGTTTGGTGTTTAGGTGATGCCCTTTATTGGCTAACCTAAGTGATTAAACCTACAAGATTCTGGGATGACTTTCCTCTTCAGGCTTTCTACATCCTACAGAGAATGATACATGCGTGTATAAAGTGAGAAGAATGGATGTGATCAAAAAAGCTTGCATCCTTAAGTCACCCGGAGTTTTGCCTTAGCTCAGTGTTCTGCATTGTTGGCACACAAGCTAGGGGCCGGGCTTGCCCGCATGCTCCACCATTTGCTAAAAGGTATAGTTTTCCCTTAACCCCCATCATAGGCTTCCATCAGTCCTTTAAGAGGTATTTTTATGTTTTTGGCTGGCACAGCACTTGGAGCCCAGCCTGACTTAGAAAAGTAGTGAGTGGGGGCGGTCTGTGACAGTGTGGTCATGTAACTTGGGGTGCAGAGTGAGCATGCTCCCAGCAAAAAACAGCAGCCCTAGCCATTTTCCTAAACCGAACTAAACTCCATTTTTAATCTTTATGCTGCCATATTGAAACGACAATCTGATCAAATATATGCAGGAAAGCCCGAGGGTGTAGATGCTAGCAAAGATATCTAACCCCCCAAGCAAAAGCGTAATATATTGCAGGTAACAAGTCCTTAGATGTGACTGCAGTGATTCAGCTTTCAGCATGGTTACATTTTTTGCAAACACAGAAAATACCAGTTTCTGGAATTCCAGTGTTAAAGCGACGATCAGCTTTCCTTCTGTGAACTTGAACTCATGTCATGGAGATGAAAGTGGAATGTTTGCAGGCCAAACAAGAACAGCCTAGGGTGATGACTCCAATTCAAATGGTGGTCACACCAGGACAGGAAGTGGTAATGGCAGGATCACCGGGTGAAAATGAATGTCTGCCTACATCTAAGGGCTGATAGGCTGGAATATAGAACTTGCTCGTGGTCTTAGATAAACAAAAAAACATGGCGTGGGATTGTGACCTGGAATAAGAAAATGACTGCTGCAAAAGTGACTGCAGAGCTCAATCTCGGTCTTCATGGGACTCTGCAGAGCTCAGTCTTGGTCTTCATGGGATGCTGTCGAGCTCAATCTGTCTTCATGGGACTCTGCAGAGCTCAATGCCGGTCTTCATGGCACTCTGCAGAGCTCAGTGTCTGTCTTCATGGGACTCTGCAGAGCTCAGTGTCGGTCTTCATGGCACTCTGCAGAGCTCAGTGTCGGTCTTCATGGCACTCTGCAGAGGTCAGTGTCGGTCTTCATGGCACTCTGCAGAGCTCAGTGTCGATCTTCATGGCACTCTGCAGAGCTCAGTGTCGGTCTTCATGGCACTCTGCAGAGCTCAGTGTCGGTCTTCATGGCACTCTGCAGAGCTCAGTGTCGGTCTTCATGGCACTCTGCAGAGCTCAGTGTCGGTCTTCATGGGACTCTGCAGAGCTCAGTGTCGGTCTTCATGGGACTCTGCAGAGCTCAGTGTCGGTCCCATGAAGATAGAGATTGCGCTCTGCAGCCACGGTGCGGAATTGTGACCCAAAATAAGGAAACAATTGCTGCAAATGTCCTTTTCTCGATCGTGTAGTTGACTGTGCTTATGCATATCGGACGTTTTATGCCATCATAACCTTTGATGCTGTACCCTGACACGGCGAATTGGCCGCTTCAGAGGCTCCAGCTAAGCGGCACCAACTGTCCCTCTTGATGCTCAGTAAGCTCTGACATGACGCTCTAATTCTAGCAGCACACGCAGTGAATGAGGAAAGTGAGGCTTCCATTTGTTAGGTGTCATCACACAGCGGAAGCAAAAATTACATCGCT